TTTAATGCATAATTATAAGGTAACATATATAACTTAAGTGAGAGATTGTTGGATTTTAAATTTACCATGTAGACTTATATGTGTAAATTACTGTATATTAAAAGGCTATCAAATTAATTGGATTTGGTTAAAAATTGATATGATACAGTTAAAGGTATATTGGATCTTAATAAATCAAATTAAATTTTGAGTTTTATTTTTTATGTGTAGAAATAAAATCTATTATTCCTAATTTTGTGATCTGTCAAATTAAGAATGTAAAAAATTTACAAACAGATTTACCTATAAATAAGCAATTATGGTCCCCAAATTACATGTAGAGTTTTTCTATTATGATCTCTCATCACCAGAAATAAAGAGAGTATGAGAACTCAAAAAGTTACAACTAATTTGGAAGATTTACTGCAGAATGTACATATTTTTTTCACTATAAATTTAGGTACACTTTCGTTACAGATGTAGTCTCTTTAATTTGATATGAGTTTGATTATTTAGATTTCATATCTAGTTTTGAAATTCCAACAAAGTTTATTTGAATTCAAACTAAAAAATAGAAAAAATTATAATTTCTACATTAGTCTTCAATACTCTTTCTTAATATAAAAATTATAAGCACCAAAATTATCTTATTGAAACACCTCTTTCTAATATGTCTTGTTTAATCTTCATATTTTAAAGTATTTTTATTTGATTGTTGATGCATTTCTCACCAATATCCAATTATTGATGCATTTCTCATCAAAATCCAATTATTAATGCGCTTTTCAACAATCTCTAATTGTTGATACATTTCTCAACAATCTCCAATTATTGATGTATTTCTCAGTAATCTTCAATTATTAATGCACTTCTCATCAAAATCTGCTATTAATCTCTCGAAGAACTTCTCTCTAATTTTCAAAAAAGAGATTTTGCTTCTTGATCATAATTTGTTTGCTTGTTCTTAAACCTGCAGTTCTTTTATATATTCTCAAATCTTTTATAATTAAAATATTGTGGTTTACCTTTATGTTAACAATTTTTTTCATTATACTTGTCTTCTTTTCATACTCTGTATAGTGGAAATTTTCATTTTTTTTATGTTTCAGCGAAGAAGGCTCCCTTTATTGCTTTTTTTTTTTTAATCTTTTTATATTTTTTTCTTATAGTCACATGATTAAGAAAGACTCTAATACCATTTGTTTAAGTTTTCCTATGTGAAGAAAACTTGAATTTTAATTAACTCCATAAAATTAATAACTTCATGTATTTTTTAATAGATTTACACATAAACTAATATCTTAAAAATAAACTACCACTATTTAAAAGATAAACACGAACTAAATCTCCTAAAAAATAAAATTTTTCTAATTAAAAGATAAAGATTGATCAAATTTAATTAAAAGATAAAACCTATTTAAATTCAAACTAACAAATAAAATAAACTATAATTTATACATTAATCTTCAACAACTCTTAAGTAACCAATTAACTATATTTTTTTAACTTAAAATCTTCAATCCATTCTCATTCATATGTCCATAAGACAAATATTATAATCTAAATTCACCAATTTTTCTAATAACAAAGGCAAAATTATTAACTTGAGAAGCTTTAAGTGGAAATATTTTTTTTATGCCACTTGAACATTAATTATGACATTTTTACCTTCAACACTACATGAGTCTTTATCAAACAAAATTTTGTATCCATTATTCATCAATTGCCCAACATTTAGTAAATTATAAGCCAAACTAGGAACAAATTTTGCACATAAGTTAAAAGCTTAGTGTTACTATGGTTTCTTTTGATAACAATTATACATTTTCCTTTAACCTTAATCAACTTGTCATCACCTAATTAAACTATTGATTTTCCTGCCTCATCAAGTTCTCTAAATAATGACTTTGAATTTGACATATGATTTGAACACCCATTATACAGAAACTAAATAGTATCAACAACATTTTTATCAAAAGAGTGAGCATAAACAACATTCTTTCTTTTTCTTCTGCAACATTGGCATGCTTTCATTCATCTCTTTGCTTGGTCCAACAATGAGCCTCCTTGTGACCTAATTTCTCATAAAGAAACCAAACAGTACTTAATTTTATTCTGATTTTACTTGAACAATCTTTGTTTATCAACTCGTCCTCTTTGTCCTTGATTTCCATTGCAACCTTTTTTATGATAACCACTATGAGAACAACTTTTATTTGAGGCTTAATCATTTAATTTAGTGTGAGAGGAATCTTTTTTCACTTGAAAAATATTTTCTTCATTTTTTTTGGTAATGATCTATTCAACTTATCTTTATGAACTTGCAAAGAACTCATTAAATCATCAAAGGAATAAATAGATAAATCTTTAGACTCCTCTATTACAACAACCGCATGATCAAATTTAGGAGTTAAACTCCTTAATAATTTTTAAATCATAATCTTATCAGTAATTTTCTCACCATATGCCCTCACTTTGAGTGACAATTACAAAGGCCCTTGACAAAAATGTTTGAACATATTCAAATGTAGCTATTTGAAGCATTTTAAAGGTTTTATGAAGTATTTATAAGTTTAGTAGTAATTACATTTGATGACCCTTGAAATTATGTTTTGAGAGTTTGTCAAGCTTCCTTAGGCATAATTGTTATAAAAATTATGTTTTGAGAGTTTGTAATGGCTCTGATGCCACATATGGTGGTTGAAAATAAAGTAAAAAACTATAAAGATGACAAATTAAGATGAGAAATGAGCCAATTTTTCATTCACAATTTAAGTAAAACAATGAGCTTTTATATACGTTGTATAAATAATTATAAAGTTAAATACATAGAGTAAAATCTACTGCATATATAGATATTTTATTAGCCACTAACTACAAATTTATAGGAACTAACATTCAGAAAAATCTGCTGCATATGCAGATATAACATTAGTCACTAATAGCAAACTTGTAGGACTAACTTCGACTCATTCACTTAGCTGATTGATTTTGAATCATTCTCAATAATCCTCACATACCACTAGAACCTACAGAGCCACTTTGTTTCCAAACTCACCGTGGCCAAATCCATGCCCGTCTCTTTAAACCACCAGTGTTCCCATCTCCCTCAAAAAAATCAAGTCTATCTCTCGTGATAGTTGGTGCCATTGACACTTCTTAGACCAGGACTTCCCAACTATTCCATCAAATGTTGGCATCGAAATGCTTCGTAAAGCGTTGCATTTAAGGATACCAAGTCCATAGTAGAGGTACTCAACATCGAAAGCTTCAATGGTGTCCACATCACCCTATTTAGGGCTGGAGGCTCCATCAGAATGCAATTTAGCCCCATTGCGGTAGAGAAAGGCACCATCATCGTGGATAGCTCCGCGTTTTAGATGGTTGTTGGGGTGCTCCTTGTAATTTTGAAAGTGAACCCAGAAGTCACGGAGGGGATAGAGCTTGACACTCTCGAAACAAAGAAGATTGGAGAAACCGATAGTGGGTAAAGGGAAGAAGAGGGGAAAGAGTTTGTTGACTTGGTTGCTGATGCGTTGATGACATGCTTGTCAGCTCAGCGGTTCCCAAACAATGTTCGATGGTTCATTAAAGAGATAAAACTATAATACAAAGAAATTTTTTTAAAAAAATAATATATGAAAAATTTTAAATATTTTGTAAAGTACTTGAGCTCTTACCCTCTAAGATAAAGGAGGAAATAATTAATCACGGACCTAAGCTAAGTTGATTTTCTTGAAATGAATTTTTTCAAAAAAAGTTTTATTGGGCAGGTCTTTTCATGCTTTATTTTTCTAATTCTCGCACATAATCTAATTATTAAGTCGAGCTCCTGTTTATGCACGTAATTACACCTGAAGCAAGTAACTAAGTCAGAATATATATATATATATATATATACATATGAATAATATTTGAAGTGACTTACATTTACAGCTTAAAGTCCAGTGATGTTTTTATGCGAGACTAATTCAACTCGACGTGCAATGTTGGTGAGTAACTTTTTCTATGTGCTGCGGTCCCTTCAACATTCAAAGCTCGAACCAGCTGATAGAAGAAAAATTAATTGGTCACTGCATTTTTCCATAAAATATATTTGAAGCTAAGATGAAGTTATATTACAAAGCTATGGTCTACAAATGAATTATACACGTATAAATCAATATTGTGTTAAATTTTTATCGAATAATTATTTTAGTTAATGTAATTTTTCTATAAATAATAAGTACAAATATAATGTTATGTACCATTTTATACAAAATAATATATCGTGTTTAATTACAAAACTCAAGAATTAATTCCACACGGCTTTGAATCTAATGCCTAGTGAAGAAATCGCTATTTTCCTCCCCTGCATACTCTATTTTATTTTACTTTATTTTTTATTTTTTCCTGCATATCGTCATATTCAAAGAGTTTGAACGAGAATAATCCTTAAAATAATTATTGAATTATTTAGGGGCAGTTGCTTTTAGCAAAATCATTAATAATAAAATTATATTTATTTATTTATTTTTATATATAAATAAACTATCTCAAGTTTTAATTAATTATAAATACATCCAATAAAAAAAAAATTAACTGACTCATATTATCCTATTTGTATTAAAAAATATATATAATAAACTCATTAAAAATAAACATAGTTTAATCATCACAGTCTAAATAATAAAATATTAAGTTAAATATTTAATCTCACTAAACTAAACAAGTTAGAGTCACTGTAATTCTATAGAAAACCTATAAATTGACAAACCCTGCATTTCCTAATGATATTCAAACTTGTGATATTATTAATAAAATATAATCAATCTTAGCTATATTATAATATCTCCATATTAATAATACTCTCAGAATTTTTCAAATGTGTCATTTTCAACAGCTCCCAACACTTGTTAATATGCCATTAGATACTGGCTAATTTAGAAGCGTTGACCCAGAATCACCAACCAAACCTTCATAATTTTATCTAAACATTAATGTATAATTTCTATCCAACAAGTTTCTAGCTCTTACTGGATACTCAAGAAAACATAAGTCCCAACCTGCTATTACTCCATATATATCAGTCTATTTTCTTTCTTCTTCCTCTAGCTAGATATAGCTTGCTATATCACACCCAAAAAAAATGACAACCCCGCAACTCATCTTCTCCTTCACCATTCTATTCCTGCATCTCATTTTTCCCTTTCCTCTCACCGACGCCAATTGCCCTGTCGCACCATCTTGCGGACCCGGCACACCAACCGTCCGGTTCCCTTTCCGGCTAAGAGATACACAATCAACGCGGTGCGGTTACCCTGGCTTTGACCTCATATGCAATAACCAGACACAAACCTTAACCCTTAATATCCCAAATGCAGGAAACTTCACGGTCAACGACATTGACTACGAATTACAGGCTGTGCATGTCGGCGACCCCGGACTCTGCCTCGCTCAACGCTTTCTCCAAACTTTCAATCTCTCCGCTTCGCCTTTCTCTCCCGTCTTTACGGTGAACTTCGGGTTTTTCAACTGCTCTGAAAATATTCCTCTGTTTTCCGGCACGTTTCAAGCGATGTGTCTAAGCCGTGACAACTTCACGGTCCTGATGACACCGACGGGCTTTTCGTCTTACGCGACGCTGTCTTCGTTATGTCAGTTGATCGGGAATCGCTCCGTCCCTGGTCCGTGGACTTCTTGGCCGGGTATGGGTGGAAGTGTCCAGTTGATTTGGAACCAACCCGATTGCCGATCGTGTGAAGAAAGTGGAGGGGCTTGCGGGTTCATGAGCAGCTCGGGTCTTGAAATCGGATGCACCAATCTTCCAAGCAATGGTAAAAAGTTATCAGTCTACTAGCTTGTTCTTAATTTCATTTCATGCATGTTATGGAATTTAAACCAACACATTAGTTTCAACCAGTTTGGAAGGAACTTGAACAGTCATTACTTGGTAAAACCAGAAGGGGCATGGGATTTAAGGTTTGGTCAAATCCAGTGGCTCCACTTCCAATTTTTTGGATTGTGGGTAGTTTTCAGTTTAAGAAATGATGCCACGTGGCATGTTTCTGAAAGTAGGTCCTACAAGAATATTTTAATAAAAAAGACTTTCTAAGTTTATATTTTATAATATTAATTTGTGATAGGTTGTAAGTTGGACTGAGTCAGTTGTTTGGTTGGTGTTGGCCTTTGGCGTAAAGTAAGACCCCTTTTATATACATCTATATATATATATATATATATGCAAGATTAAGAGATGGTTTTAGATTTTCTTCAGTATCAAATGCATTTATTTATCAATTAATTGATATATTATATTAATTATAACATAATTAAAATACTTTTTAGATGAATATATGTACAAAAATATAATTAATTCGAATTAAACGTATTAATTATTCAATTGTTTAAGATTAATTAATTAAACCTACGTCTTCTTATAAAAACTAACTATTGAAGATATTTACATATAAGCTTTCAACAAATAATGCCAAACAACCTTAATTATTTTAAATATTGTATGTATTTCATATACAATTAATTCGAGAGCAATTATTATCAGATAACAACTAGTGTCTTAAATAAATAAAGTTACATTATAAAATTCTCTTAATTTTAATTTTTTAAATTTATATGTATTTCATTACTAACATTTAGTCAATATTCATGAAGGTCCTCCAAGGAGTATCAAGTATGGACTAATCATAGGCGTTGGTATACCTGGAGTTTTATGTTTGATCGGTTTAGGATGTTACTTCGGGAGCAAGGTGAAGATGTATGATCAACGACGAAACACGATTACTGAGTTGCCCAACACCATAGTCTCTCAACGTGATGTTGTCATTTGTGGCCTTAATAAATTTACCATTGACTCATACCCAAAAACTCTGTTAGGTGAAAGTAAGAGATTACCTGAGCCTAATCAAAACCTTTGTTCAATTTGTCTTTCCGAATACCAACCTAAAGAAATACTCAAAACTATACCCGAATGTAACCATTACTTTCACATTGATTGCATAGATGAGTGGCTTAGGGTCAAAGGAACATGTCCCTTGTGTCGTAATTCCCCACAACAAAATTTCAATGAACTTTCCCCCTCTACCTTATCATCTTCCTCTTCAACCTCTTTTTCGGCCTCATCTTAATAAATTTTCACCATTATACATATTGTTTGTGTATATATTTTGCTTGTTTGTGTGATGAAAGATTAAATTTCTCTTTTCCTAGTTGAGATTCTCTACAAATTAATTTCTTCTTCAGTCTACATTAATTCATGATAGATACAGTTTTTGTAATATTAATTTTAAGTAGGATGCAATAAAAAATTTATTTTCATATGTATTTATGTAATTATATTTGAACTAATAACTTAACTAGCAAGCATGACATTCCCATATACATTCATTACATATATGTACGTACAAATTTAGCATCCTTGTTATCATCTTCAAAATGTTTTACAGAAACTATATCTAAATTGGTTTCTCATGTCACTAACTTTATTTTGAAGTTATTATACTCAGAGATAATTAACACTTTTGTCTAGAAGTTGGAATAAATTACTAATAATAATTTTTCTGGCCTAAAAAATGAATAGTTTGCTAATTTGCACCTCAATTAATTAAAATCCTTCATGTTTAATAAGTGAGCTATGAGTCAAACTTAGTAGCTTCTTTATACTTGTTCTTGATTTACTTGTCGATGTTTGTCGAAACAAGGGCCACCTTTAAAAGTTTAATCAATAGGTTTATGCATCTTAACTTGTTCAACTCGTTTATTTAGGCAAAAAAAAATCTAAATTGGTTATTGCTATCCTGGTTTAGATATCTTCTATTAACTCATATGCTCAAACCATTCTTAACCTCTTTTACTCGGGAGACTTTGTTGTAAAAGATATTAATTATGTGAACCAAGTCCCCAAAATCAACGATCATAATGGTTGCATCACAGTATACTTCCCCAACTTCAACCTCTTTATCTCTTAGTCCTATCCATTAACATCACTAAACCTCACATTCCTCAAGTGCTCTTCAACCAATGTTTTATTCGAGCTGTTTGTGCAGTCAAGCAAGGTGATTTGCCATAGCGGTGATAATTACACCATTATGGCATTTTGAAGTTTTAATTATGATCATCCATGCGAGGTGACTGCAAACATGTCGTGTGATAAGATCTTGATTGTTACTCCTCCAATTTTGTGGTACTTTGGATTGGATCTCGGTGTTTGTGTTAAAGTTAATATGGCTTGGATCTTCTTGTAGAGTATGTGAGATCAAGGAGGGAGTTGTCACTTCATCAGCTGCACTCACCTCAGTTACTTACTCCTTTTCTAATAGACATGTTATGCATTTAATGATTGTATATATATATATATATATATATATGCCAAGTATTAAATTGGTCTATATATTATTTATGAATATTCATATTATTCTATATACTAATTTTTTACTCTTTTTATATATCTATTTTTAAAAATCATCTATATTATCTGTCTTTAAAATATCATTATATGTTAGTGAATTTGGTACATGGTATACATTTATGCTTCTAGTTAAGGTAGATACCACGTGAAATCTGACGTGTAAAAAATTATCTTACTTTTTAATTTCTATTAATATAACAAAAAATTTAAAAATAAAAAATAAAACTTCCTACTTGTACATAGAAGAAAAATAATTTTTTTAACTTTTATTAAAAATATAAAAAAAAATCAATATTTTTACGCATCAAATGACACGTGAAATTTACCAAATATGAATAATCACTTGTCCAATCTGTTGTCACATGATAAATCTATCAAAAGTATTAGTAGCATCTAGTAAAGATGGACTAGTGTAGATAATTTTTTTATAATAGAGGAACCAAAAGCACAAAAATTAATAAAAGAACCAATTCAAATATTTAAAAATAGTAAAAGAATTAGTTTAGTATTAAGTCTATATATAGTCTACTCAATAGATCTAGTTGTAATTTGAATATCTTTGTACTGCTAGGTCATTCAATGTTTGCAACACTGATCATGATGTTCATGCGAGTTTCGTTGTTTATTGTGTCGACGGTTATAGTTCATATTTGGTGCGAGGTTTGAGATAATGAAGATAAAGATGAGACTTCAGCGCTAATGATAGAAACGTAATTGCCACTAGATAATCGTCAAAAATCAACTGTTATTATCAAGGGTCTTGATAAATGAAGGATTATAACATATGGAAAAATGGTAGTTGGAAAGGATAAGAATAAACATAAAATTTTGAGAGCAATTGCCCAATATGCCTATGTGATTATAGCCAAGGAAA